CAACTGGTTGACTGAGAAAAGACTGGGGGTGGGAGAGTGATAGCAGTCTTCCATTATCTGAAGGGCTGTCACGTGAAGGTAGAATTCACTTTGTCTGTCTGACCCCATAAGGCAGAACCAGGAGCTTTGGGAGAAATTGTGATGAACTTCCCAATGATGAGAGCTGAATGCAAAGGGAACTGGCTGCCTTCAGGAGACAGTTCCTCATAGGAACTACCTGGTAGGATGTTAGGCTGATGCCAGAGATCACTCATCAGGACAGTCTAGTGAAGATTCCTTTGGTGTGGCATAGGTTAGACTAGCTCCACATGCTCCCTCCCAACTCTTCAGCTCTGGGGCTCTGTAAATGTGCTCCTCCTCTCACCCTGTCCTCATCCCCCTACCCAAGTCTCTCTCCTCAGTACTAGCATTGACTTCTGTGTCCATGTTCACAGAAGCACAGGACACTGAGCTAGACCTGGAAGGAAGTCCAACTCCCTTATTTTACACATGAGGAAGCACACACACACACACACAGTGTAAGTTCCATGAGAGCAAGGCCTATTTCATTTTTTGTCTTTATATATCTAAAGCCTTGGCCATAGGAGGAGCTTGATGCCCTTTGAAATGTAAGCTGTAAAGAGCCATAGAAAGGGGAACTGTGGTTTGGACAGGGGTGGGGGTGGGCAGTGACTGACTCTTACCCCTAATGAAGGAGGCTACCTTTCCTGCCTCAGAGATTGCTCCATGCTCCCCACTCCAATGTTCTCCTCTGCAGCTCCACATCCTCAAAACCTGGAAGCAGCCCTGGCTCACCCTTCCCCTGCTCCTTCCCTCCCCTCTTATCTCTCTCATAGCACCAGCACCAAAGTGGGCACACAGGAGAGAGTCAATAAACACTTGAATGGATGGATGGATGGATGGATGGATGGATGGATGGATGGGTGGATGGATGGATGGATGGATGGATGGATGGATGGATGGGTGGATGGATGGATGGATGGATGGATGAGTGGATGGATGGATGGATGGATGGATGGATGAGTGGATGGATGGATGGATGGATGGATGAGTAGATGGATGGATGGATGGATGGATGAGTGGATGGATGGATGGATGGATGGATGGATGAGTGGGTGGATGAGTGGATGGGTGGATGGATGGATGGATGGAAGGATGGATGGATGGATGGATGGATGGATGGATGGATGGATGGGTGAATGGGTGGATGGATGGATGGATGGATGAGTGGTGGATGAGTGGATGGGTGGATGGATGGATGGATGGATGGAAGGATGGATGGATGGATGGGTGGATGGGTGGATGGATGAGTGGATGGGTGGATGGATGGATGGATGGATGGATGGATGGAAGGATGGATGGATGGATGGATGGATGGATGGATGGGTGAATGGGTGGATGGATGGATGGATGGATGGATGGATGGATGGATGAGTGGATGGATGGATGGATGGATGGGTGAATGGGTGGATGGATGGATGGATGGATGAGTGGGTGGATGAGTGGATGGGTGGATGGATGGATGGATGGATGGAAGGATGGATGGATGGATGGGTGAATGGGTGGATGGATGAGTGGATGGGTGGATGGATGGATGGATGGATGGATGGATGGAAGGATGGATGGATGGATGGATGGATGGATGGATGGGTGAATGGGTGGATGGATGGATGGATGGATGGATGGATGGATGGATGGATGAGTGGATGGGTAGATAAAACATCACTTTTATTACATCCTTCCTCTGTTCATGTAGGGCTGCCTGATACCCACAGGAGCCCAAGCCCAGACACTATCTTACAGCATTCTCATTCTGCCCATATGCCACATACTTTCCCTCCCCCTCCTTGTCCCCTTTATTTATACATGTACACATTGTAAGTAAGCACAGGAACTGTTTCACTTTTGTCTTTGTACCCTAGCACCTGACACACAGTAGGTGCTTCAGAAATGCTGGCTGAATTAAACTTAACTGAATTCAAGGTCACATCTTGACCCACTACCACTCCAGCCAGGCAGCAGGGGGACCTCATGGACCTACATGAGTTCGTGTGCACATACACATCATATTCTATGTACTGTCTAGCCTCTACTTACATCCTCTTGCTTCCGGGTGGCTAGGCCTGGTCTTGAAACACAGACTGGATACCCATTTGTCAGGAGTGCTGTAGTGAGGATTCTTGGTCAAGTGTGGGTTGGACCAGATGTCTCTGAGGACCCCTCCTCTCTGGAGAGTCTGGGTCTCCAATCAATGGGATTTGTACATCACTTTGCAAAGCTCTTCACATATCTCATTGGAGCTAAACAGCAACTGTGTCTGGTTCTTTCTCTACTACATCAGGAGCCCTGGGCAGAAGGTAAACCAAACTCTGCCACTTCAATCCCATAGCTGTCAGTTCGGCTGCCTTTTGGGCCCAAACAGAAGTGGTCTGCACCTCAGCTTGCACCCAGAAGCAAGGCTGGGGTGAGGAGAGACCTCAGGCTTCTTGGGTCCCTTCTACCAACTCCCAAGGCCAGCCTCCAGACAGCTGGGTATCTACTTCAACGAGAGATTTATGAGAAACGTGAATAATCATCACACTGGATGGAAGGCATGGAGAGATTTTGATCTAGGCCTGAATTTCCTAACCAGGGGTCTATGAACTTGTGTGTGGATACATACATACATACATACATGTATATTATATATACATAATTGAAACACATATTGAAACATAGGTGATAGACAATTGTATTTCAACATAAGTGGTTTCCTTTACATTTCTATACATTTTATTTTATGTGTTTAATAACACTATTCTGAGAAGGGGTCCATAGGTCAGTCAGTCAACTGGCATTTCTTAAGCCCCTACTGTGTGCTAGACACCGTGCTAAGCTCTGGGCCTTCAACACCACACTGCCACAGAGAGCCGGGACATCCACAAAATGTTAAGAACCTTTTCATCCACACTAACAGAGGCAGCAGGCCCTTCCAAGAGAGCTCAGGATAGGCTGGAGAGAAATACTTGGAAAGAAAACACTTAGTTAACCCTCAAAGTGCTAAAACCCTCTGAGCCAGTAGCTCGGAGTCCTTGTGACTATTCAATTCACAAATGGAGGCTCAGGGAGAAAGGAATTGTGCAAAGTTACCCACCAAGTAAGTGAACCATGTTTCTGAAGCTCAGTCCCTGAAGAAAAAGCTGAAGCTGAGAGGGGACCCACTGCCTCCTTTAGCCCTCCTCTCTCTGGTTGTCTGGAGGCTGAGGAAGGAGGGGAATTGGGAATAAAGTTTGCTTGGAAGGAGGGGACCCAGGCCTCAGAGCTCCCCAAGAACCCAGCCCCATTGGACCCAGCACTACAGCCAGGGTGGGCAGCCGGCAGGAGGGGATGCTAAGGCCAACTGCCCGAAGGGTGGGCTTCACTCTGTGTGTGGGATAGGGGGTGGGGGTTAGCTTTAGTATGCCTCATGCCCCTCCCCATCAGCCTGCAATCCTGCGCCCGAGAGGGGCGGGGTATATGGCGAGCAGATGGCACGGCTTGTACTGGCTGGCGGCTGACTCCCGTGAACAGAAAGGGGAAATCTGTCGCAGAACTCCAGGGGGCCTCTATGGGGGAGGGGGAAGGAGCAGGGGAGGGACCTAGATGAGGGAGGGGAGAGAGAGGCAGAGAGAGAAGGCTTTTGGGGGGGAATTGGGGGAGTAAAATGGGCAAATGGATGGGGCAGGGGCAGAGAAGGAACTAAGGGTAGGCAACTGCCTTGGGACCCACATGCGGGGGGCGGGGGGGGGTGAAACAAGGGAAACTTTGTGTATGTTACTATATGTAATATACACACACATATACAATATATAGTCACATGTATCTATACAGATCTATGCACATGTATCTATCTATATATACACCTAATATATAGTATCTAAATGCACATTTCAAGACTGGAAGTAGCAGCTCTCTGGAGCCTCGGGGTGGATCAGTGCGTAAGTAATCCGCAGGGGCTGACAGCCCCAGTCATTCCCTAGGGCGCTGGCAGTATCCCAGCCTGGCTGCCCAAGGGAGCCTAGGGGTCCCTCGTCTTCCCCGTTCCTCTGTCCCTGCTCCTTACCTGCCGAAACAACCTCAAGCTCACCCCCCATCACTTTTGTCCCCCTTCCTCCACCCCGACCAGGCCCAGGCTCTTTCCATTGTCTTCAAATGTCAGAATCCCCCTTCCCAAAGGAATCCCGGCCCCAACATCTCGGCCTTTCGTCAAACCCAGAACCCACTCCTCATGCAACCAAGCATTTTCCCATTCCTAGATCTCCGCTCATTGCCGTCTCGTCCCTTTATCCCCCTCTCCCCATCCTGGCTTCCCCTCCATCGCTATTCGGCCTCCCCCACCCCCTAAACAGGCCTCGCTCCTAAGGCCTGTCTCTCCCCACCACCCAGCCCCAGCCTGGCCTCCCCCAACACACACACACACACACACACACACACACACACACACACACCGTCACCCCGCTTGCTGGCCATCCCAGCCTCCCCTCCCGGATTCTCCCTACCACCCCAGCCAGGCCTTGTCCCATTCCGACCATTTCTGCCCATCCCGGGGCCCCGTTCCCCTCTGTGCATTTTTCCCCGGCCCCAGGCCCGCTCCCCAGCCGGGCCTCTCCTTCCCTCCACACCCCCCCGACCGCTCTCCAATCTAGCCTCTCCTCTCCCCCTCCCCCGTCTCCCGGCCCCATTCCTCATCCTGGTCTCTACCCCTTCCCCGCCCCCCCCACCCTCAGCCAAACCGCGCTCCCCATCCTGGCCTCTTCCTAACGGATTCCACTCCCCTTCTAGCCCCGCCGCTATTCCTCCGGTCCGACCTCTCCAAAGGGCCCTCCATCCAGCCCCTCGCTATCCATCCCGCCTCTCCATCCTTGTTGCGCTCTCTCTCCCCTGAGCCCCCGAGGCGCCGTCCCAATCTATGGGTCCCGGACAGAACCAGAGGCCGGGGGTCTCGAGTGAGCGCGCGCGCGCGCAACGGGGCTCAGTCCTACCCGGGCGCCCGGCACACATTGCGTCCCCGCGGGCTCAGCTCCTGGGCAGCTCGCAGAGGAGGCAGCAGCAGCAGCAGCGGCAGTAGCAGCAGCGGAGGCAGCGAGGGCTGCAGGGGCCACGGCAGCAGGAGTGGCCCCCGCGGGTGGCCAGCGCGAGCCCCGGGGGCCCCCCATGCCGGGCCGGGGGGCACGGGGCGCAGAGCGGCTGCAGGGAACGCGGCCGGAAGCCGAGTGCAAGGGGAGCCGAGGGCCGAGAGGAGAGAGGCGAGGCCCGGCGGGGCGGGCGGGAGTGCAGGGAGGGGAGACGAGAAGAGGAGGGGAGAGCTGGGGAGGGGTGGAGAGGAGAGGGGAGGGGGCCGGGCCCGGCAGGAAATTCCACATCGGCTCCCCTGATCCCGGGCCAGCCTCGGGCCGCCTCTGCGTAGCGCCGCCCAAACCCCACCCTCCCGGCGGGCCCTGCCCGGCCAGCCCCGGGACACTCGGAGAGGCCCTCCAATTCTGCCCCAGCCCCCGGGCTGCCCTGTGCCCCTGTCCCCACTCCCTGCCTCCTCGGCCCCAGTGCCCAGTTCCCCTTCCATCAATCAGCCCCCTAGTCTGCCCCCATCTCCCTCTCCATGCCTCCCCCTCCTCTGCCATTCAATCCAACGAGTACTTACTAAGCACCCACTGTAAGCAGAGCGCTGAGCGACAGGATTCGGACAAAATAAGACTGCCCTGTGTGCCCCCCTGCACTCACTTCATTTCTCTTGCCCCCTCCATTGTCAGATCCCTATTTCCTTCTACTTGTCCTCAACCACAATTCCTCCCTAGTAGTACTCCCTCCTCTCACTAGGATGATGAAAGGAGCCGGGGCCTAATGAAAGGGACTGTGCCAGGGACAGGGAGGAAGGAGGGGTGGAGGCTTCTGCTGGGGCCACTTGAGAAAATAAAGGTGTCTTCCCAGGTGGAAAGTGATAAGGCAAAAGACTCCGACGACTGTAACCGGCTCCTTCCCATCGTCACTTCCCTCTTCCCTGGAATAATCTCAGACATTTACTAGTTGGGTGGGCCTCAGTTTCCTCATCTGTAACACGAGAGGTCGGACTCCAGGGTCCTCTAAGGTTCCTTCTGGCCCCATTTTTAAAAATGACCCAAAGCATTGTGTTACAACACTGAAATCACCAGAACTCCAGTGGCCTTTGACACCGTTGACCTGTGCCTTTGTCAGGACAAATGCCGTCCCAAACTGTTGATTCCTTTGTTTTTTACAGCTTCGGCTGCTGGATCCGGACAGGTGGGTTTGGTGCAAGTTCTTTATCATTCCCTTCAAGAATTAACTCATCTTTTAGGTTTAGAAAGCAGCACAAGCAACACTTTGCCCCTGGTAGGTACACTCTTCAGATGTGTTTTTCATCCAAAGAGTTTCTGACCTCATCCGGTGAGCCATTCTGTTCAATGTTATCGATGGGTAAGTGAACACTGACGAACCTCATCTTGTAGGAGAACCGGGGGTAACTGACACCCCTTTGGACTGTTTTCCACATGACTATAGATCGCACAAACCATTGCAGGTTCTTCTGGGTATCTCCATCACTTGCCAACCTGGAACCTTTTCTTCTTTCCAAAATGCTCAACACTGATGTGGTTGAAATTCCCTTGTAGGATTCCTCCTGGGACCCTTCACAATAACTGTCTGGCCCTTCAGAGATGTCAACATTTCCTGGGATGCTCAAAGTCTGTTTTCCTTCTTCCTAGCCATGGATGGGCCAAAGCCAATTCTGTCAGTTAGGGTGGCTTAGGAACTAACCAGACAAGAGTGTGGCAGAAAGAAATTTCAGAAGAGATATATGCCCAAGAAAGGGACTACCCTCAAGGATAAAATCTGGATCCTTGAAATATGCAAGTGCACATACCAGTCAGGTGGAAACATGGCTGATAACTACATTGTTGGAGGAGAAGGCAAAAAGCAAGTGGAAATGCCCAAAGCAGTGTCTTGGGGGACTAGATCCCAACATCACAGCTGTAGAGTGGGAAGGGATCTGCAAGGTCCTCCCGCCCAGGAGCCCTTCACCTTCTCAATGTTTGCTGCTCATATTCATAATGAAAGGAAATGCTCCACTTTAGAAGTGAGTGAAAATAGAGATGTCCCCTTTTCCCCACCCAGGTTCTTGAAATCTCTCCCCATGCTAAGAACTGTTCCTCTAGGCCAATGCCCCCCCCCCTTGATAGAGGAGGGAGGGGATGTCTTCCAAGGTCACAAAGTAGTATAATCTGAACCCATGTCTGTTAAGCCCAAATTCACTACCCCTTCCACTGCACCTTGGGGGGAGGCATCGGAGTCTGGGGGAAGGGAGGGGGTCATACAACAGGCATGAATGCTGGACACCCAGTATAGACCTAATTAGACTCAGGGTTGGGAGAGGATTTATGACACCTTGGGGGGAGGGGAGGGCAAGAAATCTCATCCATGGCAACAAGGCAAACCAGAACATATTTGTACCCCTATCCTACCCTCACCTTTACCCAAATGCACTTTCTCCTTTTCCCCACCCCCTACACTCCCCCATCCATAACCTATATATAGATATATATTCGCCCCCCCAATACAGAAACATCTAGGCATCAATATGGATATCATGCTGGCTTGGAACTGGGAAAACCCGAGTTTAAATCTTGCCTCAGACACTGTTAGCCAAGGGCAAATCACAGACTCTTGGCCTCAGTTTCCCCTTCTGTAAAATGGGGGTAAAGATGGAGTGACATGGTTGGGCGATTGTTGTCTTTTGTTTTCGAAGAGGCCCAAAATGACATCACTACGTTGGGGTCAAGGTCCAGTGTGTCCGACAGTGGATGACAGGACCAACAGGCGCTTGGAATGCTCCACCCCAAGTGGGGCACAAAGAGTCCATGTGGACGTTGGGGACATCTTCTGATTTGAGCATCAGTTGGATTTCAGTGAGGCAGACTTGGGTCAGGCCATCAGCCTCACTCTCTCTGGTCCCAGAGTCCTTGGAGTTAAGTGCTTTGCAAACCTTGAAGCATGCGAATGCTAGCTCTATCACTGCCTCCCTTTTGGGGATCAGAGGAACCCAGCAGCAGTCTTTTTTCCACTACCACGTCCTTATTCCACTATGGCAAGACCCATGTGACCTTGGGCAAGTCACTCCACCTCAGTTTTCAGGCCCAAGGTTCGTTCCGGCTCAAGACGTGTGCCTCCCTCTCTCACCTCATCCCCTCACACGTTCACACAGGGCATGCCAATCCAGGTGCCACCTTCTCCATGAAGCCTTCCCTGGTCACCTCAGTCCCCCAAAACCAGTCCTTCCTCCCACACTAGGAAGGGATCAGCCTCACCGGGACATCTGCCCCTCCCAAAAGTCTAGCACTGGGACCTACACAAAGCAGAAACTCGGTTGATCTGTTGACTGGTTCACCCCCTTCCTCCAGCAGAAGAGATCATGGCAAACACAGCTTTTACCCTCGCCCCCCCCCATCCACAGATGGAGGTACATGTATGAATGCTTAGGAAGAGGCCCCTGCCCACAGGACAGCAAGAACAGCACTCACTCCATCTCGTTCCTCCTCCATCACCAGAATGGGCCATGGTCCCACTGGCCGAGGGAGGTTGGGAAGAGGAAGCCTCAGAGCACGACTGACCCAGCAGGGTTTGGGCAGGGAGAGGGGCCTTGACTTTTAGTGAAAAGGTCCTTTTTAAAAATCCTGGCAATGGGCAGCTAGGTGGCACAGTGGATAGAGCACCAGCCCTGAAGTCGGGAGTACCTGAGTTCAAATCCGGCCTCAGACCAAACACTTAACACTTACTGGCTGTGTGACCCTGGGCAAGTCACTTAACCCCAATTGCCTAAAAACAAACAAAAACAAAAAATGAAAAAAAATAAAAATCCTGGCAAGGGAATTGTTTCCTACCTGAGTTGGGGGAGGAAGTTCGCCCTCATCAATGAGGGGTGAAAAAGGGATATCCTTCAAATCAGTTAGTATTGATTACTTTATTTTTAGTTTGACTGTAGGACTGAGCTCCCTTCTTTAGGAAAAGCTGGCTCTAACAGCAAAGCCAGACTAACAGAGATAGTCTCTTAAATCTAGGTTACCTACAAATTTAGTGAATGGATTGATACAATTATCACAGTAGCAGATATTTTAGAGTGAGACATCTATCTTTGTAGAAATAAAATAATCACAGGAGGAAGACTCTTTTTTAAAGGCTAAGGTCCCCCTTCTAGCAGCTGGAGAAAGCAGGGTTAGCCAAAGGCTGTTTCTCTTTTCCAGTCTACAGACCACAAGTTCCTCTTTCCCAGAAACTTTGTGGTTACAAACAGCATCACCTTCAGGGCAAGGACTTGCAGGGCAATTTTGATGTCACCGTGGGGGTTAAGAAAGCCTAAGAGAAGCACACTAGTCAGACGACCTGCCTTGTCCAATTGAATTATGTTTAAAACAAGTTTCTGTAATTTTAATCCTTTCTCATTATAAAAATCAACTCTGTAAAACACTCCTTGTCTCTGGCCCCCGAGGAGTCAGATGACCTGATCTGATATGCAAATGCTAGCTTTGCAAATTCTCAGTAACTTTGTACCTCAGTTTCTTTTTATTTCAGACAATTAATTTTAACAGGGGTTGGCTCTGGATGGCCACCCCTTCCCACCGACAGTCCTTCCTTCTGCATCAAAGTAGGAACACAGCTAGCTCCCACTAAGTCATCAAGGCAGGAGAGGAGGCAGCAATCACATAAGGGCTGAGGGCTTTGGAAACCGAGTCTGAAGGCATGCCAAGGAAGCTAAGATGCAGAATCAGGGAAATCTCTGAGCTTTGTGCCCACAACAGGGAGTGACCTAGCCCGAACGTTCCCATGGATGCCACTTACAAAGGGAAGCAAACAGTTAACTCAGTTTGTATGGTTACAAAAGTGCATCGACTGAAGAAAGCCTCAGCTTATTAAATGAGGAAGTGAAATCTGGCAAGCTGGGTGGCCGAGCTCAATGAATGACACTTGGAAGCCAGGGCGCTGTCCATTTCAGACACATCGTTAAAGGCACAGAAAGAGAAAGATCGAGGCCTGGTCCTAGCAATGCAATAAAGACTTCCTATAGGATTTTATTATTTCATTTACAAACCGTAAGGTTTTGAAAAAGCCCCCCTCCCCCCCAGTAATCCTTGCCCTTTCCATCTTCAAAACTGGTTCTAAGCCTCCTGAGGCTAGCTCTGTGCCTTGGGGCGTGCTGGTGTCTGCCCCTCAGGGTCAGCGTGCTGGTCCTCTGCTCCAGCCCAGCCTCCAGAAGCTTCTGCTTCGGAAGGAGGATTGCTTCCCCAGGAACCTGGGCGATGTGACTGGGCCAAGGCTGCTAGTCTGCCCAAGCAGGAGGGGGATCTACAAAGTTACTCTCAAAGGTTTAAAATCACTTTTTTAAAACCCTCTGTTTGCACATCTTGCCACATTGTCCAGGGCCCTTTCCTCAAAGAGCTCCCGGGGCCCGGACTGGTTGAGTCACATGTGGCCAATGACGACAAGACACGCTGGAAGGTGTCTGACCTGCCTTTAACATCTTCGGAGGTGCAGAGATGGAGGTGAGGCAGCCAGGCCTCCAGTGCTCAGTCTTTCTTCACCTTTCAAGGCCCCTGCTATCCTTCCCTCTAAAATCTAAGAGGGCTCTCGGCCCCAGGTTCAGTCTTCACTGGAGTTATCAAACTCCTCCCAGTCAGACACACTCATCACCTCTGAGCCCAGGTCAGGGTCACGCTGCCCCCGGTCCGGGTGCCAGCCGGGGGCTCGCCGGGCAGGGTCTGTGAGCAGAGATCTGGGCAGAGTGAGGACACACGCCGCCAGCCCGGAGATGGCGTTCTCCAGCTGAGGCCCCTCTTCCCAGCAGTCCTTCTCCACGTCATAGATGTGCACGTAGCTCATGCGACTGCCTCGGTTGTGGGAGCGGCCCCCCAAAACGTAGATCTTGCTGTCCAGGACAGCGATGCCCGGCTCGCCGTGTCCAGCAGGGAGGGGGCAGACTGCTGTCCACTGCCTGGTGCTGGGGCTGTAGCACACAACCTGCAAAGGAAAACACCAGTGCTGAGATGCACGAAGGCTGTACTAAGCTCCCGTACCACGCTCCACCCGGGACACAGACAGAAAGGTCAGCCAGGGGCTCTCCTGAGGAGGAGACCCGGCCCAGACTGGCACTGAGGGCGCAGTAGCCAGGCGGACGGCCGTCCCTCTTCTTTCACGGCACGTCTACAGACGATGGCCCATCAGTTTCCGGCGCTGAACTACACGCCAGGGCCAAGAAGTCAGGCAATCACAACCCTCCGTCCTGGGCCTTCAGGAGCCGAGGCTAGGCCCTGGGCAATGCCCGTGGACCACAACATTCCGTGCCCAGGTTACTCCTCCTCTCTACATCTTACCTGTCCTGCAAGTCCCCCAGCCCGGGAAGACCTCACTCATCTCTCAGATTCCAGCCTCCCCCTCAGAGGTGGGTCCCCAACTCTGCTGAGAGCAGAAACCAGGGCACCTCCAATTAGGCAGCAGCCTGCACAATGCTGGGGGTTCCTAGCACTGGGCTCATTCCCAGCTGGTCACATGAAAGACTCATGTTAACTGGCGGGAAAGGGGCAGGGAAAACAGCATGTTATCTGACTTTCAAGCCCTAAGAGGACAGGGCCCAAATGTAGCTAAATCACGCATCTTCCCAGGTGTCTTGCACAGGGCTCTACACACAGTAGGTGGTTAATAAATGTCTGTTATAATTGAATTGTTCAACTGGAAATCAACAGCACAAGATCTGGGGTAGGAATGCCTTGGGCTGGTTCCTGTTTTGGCTTCGGCACCAACTAGACAGTGTCCCCGGCTCTGCCCACCTCCCGGGCAGTGCTGCCTCAGTGAGGCTCCCCGTCGCCCCCACCTCCCCTTCCCTCTCACCTGGTGGACGTCCCTCCGGTAGCCCGAGTCATTGTTGCTGCCTCCGATCACGTACAGTTTGCCCAGCAGGGAGGCCATGCCATGCCAGGCGCGCCGGATGGGGCCGTCGGCCAGCGCCTCCCAGCAGTTGGTGTCCGGGTCATAGCAGTGCAGTTCCTTGAGGTAGTCCTCACCTCGCCTGCCACAGGTGATGTACATCTTTCCGCCCAGAGTGGCCCCCGCGTGGGCATACACCTACACAGAGACGAGGCAGGCAGCAAGTGAGGTGGGCAGGGACGCACAGGGACCCTTTCTTTGCAAGGTAGTGAATGGAGTGGAGAGGAATGACTCCCAGCTGGAGTTCAGCCCCCTGACCCTGCCCTTCCAGAGTCTTCTCTTGCCTCAAGGCTTCCTTTTCCTCTCTGCAGCCCCAGGGCCCAGGCACGACTGGCACCCCCACGGCAGCGCTGACTGACAGAAGCTGGATGAACATCTGCTGATGAATGAACTAGCCCTGACTACACTTCACAGAACCTGCATGCTGACACTGGGGAGACAGCTGGGAGGCCTCGGGCAGTCCTTGCACCGCCTCCCTCCTGGGAGGATGGCAGGGTGCAGAGGAAGGGGGAACCGTGAAGGCTCTGCCTGGGGGGCACTACCGGGAGAACCAAGGTAGGAAGGCGACTGGCCCAGGCCTTCCCAGGAGGCCCCACCTTCTGCTGCGGGAGCTTGTCACAACGTCCTGGCTTTTTCTTCTCAAGGCAGCCCACGTTTGCTCTGCTATGTGCTCTCCAGGGATGTTTAGTGTCAGGGAAGTGATGGAGAAAGCCCTGTCCTGCCCTGGAGGAGCCCCCAAACTCACACAGGCTTGGGGAGGGGGACACCGCTCTGTCACCAACACCAGTGACCTCTCCTTTGGCAGGGAAGGGCCTGACCCACGCTTGCAGACATGGATTCTCTGACCTCCCATGGCACTCGTTCTATGCCCATGCCTCAGTCTGGGGCTGCTTCGACTTGCTCTACAGAATTGTTTCATGGTATGTGTTGTGCAATGTCCCCCGGCCCCACCCGGCACACCTCAACAGCACCCATCATCTCTTCCTCTCAAGCCTGAGAGGCTGCAGAGAACCTGGGGCACCCTGAAAGGCCAGAAGAGGGGCAGGCAGGCCACAGCCACTAACCAGCCCCACCCCACACAAAGATACCACGTGGAGTGAAAGCTTTCCCACTAGACTCGTGGGGGAAAGAGAATGGTTCTGTAGTTCAAAACACTTAAAATCTGAGAAGACACATAACAGCGATCCCAGATGGCCTGCTGTGCTTTCCACGTCATTATTTATGGTGACATTTTAAATTTCTAAAATTCCAACTCCAGGCGAGCTTTCTGGTTGTGGTTGCAGGGGTCAGGAAAAAGATGGCTGCGGTCAGGAAGCCCACACAAATGCAGGTGTCCACGAGCCAGGTATGTGACCATCAGGAAGTCACCTCGGTTTCCCCAACTATAAAATGGGGAGGATATTTACAGTACCCACCTCATGGGGCCAGTGGGGAAAAAGCACAAGGTGTCATTTCTACCTTGTAGAAACATACGGTTACAGAAAGTTTAGTTATCATCTTATGCTAATAATAACCCTCACCCATATGGCTACACACAGCTGGAACAGATATCTCTCCTCTCATCTACATGTGGAATTCCACATACAAGCCCACTCCCAATCATCACCTACTCAAGCAGGTCAACTACCACCTATTCCTAAAAGCTCACGCTCATCTTCCTGCCAACCTCTACCCCCATAGACTCAGCTGGCGGTGCGGTGAAAAGCATGCTGGCCGGGAGTCAGGAAGACCTGGCCTCAGATGTTCGCTAGCTCTGGGACCCTGGGCAAGTCATTTAATCTGTCTGCCTCAGTTTCCTCAACTGTAAAAAGGGGATAAGAAGAACACCTACCTCCTAGAGTCATGGTGAGGATCTGATGCCTTCGGCCACCTTCTCCTCGTTCAGCCCTGGCCATACTCCTTACCAAGGCTAGCCTTCCCACTTGTCCACGTGACCTCATTCCCTCCGGCCTCTGCCATCCCCACTGTCACTACGGCTTGCTCCCTTCTGCCTACAGACATGCCCAAGTCTCCATCATCTTGAAAAAAACCCTCACTGGATCCTTCCATCCCCAAGGCTAAACCCCTCCAAAAGGTCACCTACCCTAAGGGCCTCCACTCTCTCTCTTCTCACTTCTCTTACAACCTTCATACTTCAATGAAAACTGCTCTCTCCAAAGTGATCAGGGAACCATCTCTTAGATGCCAGATCCAACTGCCGCCTCCTCTCTGCAGCCTCGGATGCCGTCCACCACCGTCTCCTCCTTGGCATTCTCTTACCTCTTCCTTTTCTGGACATCCCTCTCTCCCATTCTCCTCCCCCCTCCCTCTCTGACCACTCCTTCTGTTTCCTGTGCTGCTCCTCCTCCAGGTCACTCCCTCTGACCGCAGGCATCCTCGGGGCTCTGGCCTGGGCCCTCTGCTCCTCTCCCTCTGTACTACTTTACCCGGCAATCTCATCAGCTCCCCACTGATTCAATTAGCATCTGAATCTATGCCCTTCTCTCCTCTGACAGTGCTGCCCCTGCCCTAGTAGAGACCCTCAGCCCCTCAGCCCTGGACTGCTGCAGTGGCTGCTAAGGGTCTGCCTGCCCTAAGTCTCTCCATCCAGTGCAGCCACTGAAGCCTTTTCCTAAAGCCCAGGTCTGATCGATCATGTCTCTCCCCACTCAATAATCTCCTGTGGCTCCCTACTGCCTCCAGGGCAAATACAAAACGCTCTGGTTGGCCTTCAAAGCCCTTCCAGCCCACCCTCTCCTCCCTTCTAGTATTCATAGGAATCTTACCTCCCAACATGTCCTCTGCAATGCTGTGACCCTGGCAAGGTCCTGGTTGCTCCACCAAGACCCTCCATCCCTCTGCTCGGGGCACTTTCTCTGGTTGTCCCCAGACATGGGACACTTTCCTTCCTCCGCTCCCAGACTACTGGCCTCTTTGGCCCACCTTCCATAGGAAACCTGTCCTAACCCCTCTGAATTCCAGGGCCTTCCTTCTGCTAATCATTTCCTATTTATCCTGTATATAGCTTGCTTTGTATACATGTGTTTGCTTACCTTACATTGTAAGCTCCTCGAGGGCAGGCCCTGTGGCACTTAGCATAGTGCCTGACACACAGTAGGCACTTAATAAATGCTTATTCTCTTTTCCCATTCTCAATGAACAAAGATTTGCTTGGTGCTGTCCATGTTCCAGGCTCACCTGACCTCTTAGCACCCGGTTTCCTGTTAAGGGACTTATTTAACTGGTATTATACATATCAGTGTAGTGTCATCACCCCAAGAGATCTTAAGCTTCTTGGGGTTTGTAGGCAGTGGAAAGACCACTAGAGGACCTGGGTTCAAATCCCTTCTCAGCCATTTATCTACTGGGTGTATGACCTTGGGCAGTTCCTTAAGCCTCTCCTTCCAACACAACAGCGCCTAGTTCCTCTGGGACAGGTAAGCCAGAGCACAGTCAGCCTGCTGCAGTCACTGCCTTTCTGACCCCAAAGCGGGAAGGCTGGAACTCAGCAGCCCCCTGGTCCGCCCCCACGTGGCCCAGAGCGGCCACTACAGAATCCCCAACAAGCCTCTGGTTTCAAGGGCCCTCCTAGCACTTGAAATCCCTGGGGCTGGGGTAGGGCAGGGCCCAGCCAGGGAGGGAGTCCTATCAGGCCTCGGTGGTCTCCCAACCTTTCCTTTCCTTTTGTTTCCTTTCCACAGTGAGCCTGAGAAGCAGGGCCCACCCAAGCCAGAAGCCAGAACTGCAGGCTATGCTCCTCCTCATCTCAGGCCTCAGAGCTGGCAGGGAGCTGGGCAGCACTCGCTCGAGGAGGCCCATCCTGGGGAGCCTGCCCAAGGGCAGGAGCACCAAGCAGATGGAGCCCCAGGTCAGGGGCTCTGCCATCTTGTACAAGTCAGGTCGGGCACTGGGGAGAGAAGCATAGCCTATTCTTTGCCCCAAGATGGCCCCATCCCCATTGAACAGATGTGGAAACTGAGGATCAGAACATTTCAATGGCTTTCTCGAAGCCTCCGCCAAGACAGGCCCCTTGACCCCAGCTGGAAGCTACTGTTCTCAAGGTAGGCTCCAATTCTGTCCGTGAAATTTATCAGATAACTTACCCTCCCCAGGCCTAAGACTCCTCCTCTATAAAATGAAGAGATTCCATGGGACAAAGGAGGTGGTACCTAAGCCCGTCCGGCTCTAACTAGTTCTAGGATCCAATGAAGAAACTTCTCATTCCAAAAAGAAGCCATTTTATCAAGTATGCGTGACTCTACCATTTCCCTTACAATTAACGGAATTCTAAATCAGAAAACAGATTTTTTTTAAAGGGAAAACAAGTAGAAAAGGGCACTGTTCTTGGGAACCAGGGAGATCTGCGTGCAAATCCTGGCTAACACCCAGGAACAAACTGCCCAATCTTTCAGAGCCTCAGTTTCCCCAGCTGTAAAATGCAGACCCAGCGCTAGTGCTCTCAGAGGAGTGCTGTGAAGAAATCTCTCGGGAAACCTTGAACAGCTACAGAAATGAGGGTATTCAGTGACTGCAAAAGCACCTTCAGTGTCCTAAGTACAGCGTAGCAGGCTGCAGAATACACACCGGATGCTGGGCCACCTCCACAGAGAAGCTGATGAAAATGACAACTGCTACCCCAGAAATGGGCACTAAGGGGAGCCACCGGACGGAGAGCACCAGGCCTGGGACACTGGCCAAGTCACTTCACCTCATCTGCCTCAGTTTCTTCATCTGTCAAATGAGCTGGAGAAGGAAGTGGCAAACCACACCAGTGTCTCTACCAAGACAACCCAATGGGGTCATGAAGAGTCAGACACGACCCAACAAAAAAGCTAGCTTTAAACTCGGAAGGAGAGAGGGACAGACGGACAGACAGACAGACAGACAGAGGTCATGTGCCCCAGGCCCAGTCTCCGGCTTCAGCAGCTCCAAGCTCAACAAAAATAGGTACGTATTCTGTACACATGGGTCCTTTCCTTCTTCCTTTTTTCTCTTTGGGGGTACAAAAATATTCCTAGCAGCTCTTTGTGTGGGCAAAGAGCTGGAAACTGAGGGGATGCCCAGCAACTGGGGCATGGCTGAACAAGTCATGGTACAGGAATATGATGGAAAACTACTGCACGGTAAGAGATGATGAGGGGGATGGTTTCAGAAAAACCTGGGACAACTTATATGAGTGGATGCAGAGCGAAGTGAGCAGAACCAGGACAACAGTGGGCAAGGTAACAGCTACTAAAGGCTTGGCTACTCTGATCAATGCAATGATCCAAGCCAATTCTGAAGGGCTCCTGACGAAAAATGCCGTCTGCCTCCAGCCAGAGGACTGGTGACCCCGAGTACAGACGGAAGCGCCTTTTTTTATTCATCACTTTATTTTTCTTGCTTTTTTCCCCCACAACATGGCTAAAATGGAAATATGTTTTGCATCACTTCATGTTGTGTAATGGGTATCATACTGCTTGCCTTCTCAACAGGTAGGGGAGGGGTGGAGAAAATTTGGAACTGAAAATAAAAATTAAAAATAAACAAAATTTTTAAAATAGATTTTTGCATGGTTAGCTTCTACCCATAGATGTATTTTTCTTTCAAGAGCTCTTATCTAGGGGAAAGGCAGCACTTGAGTTAGAGATTCTAAATGAAAAGCCCATTTCAGGCAAAGGCACGGAGAGAGGAGACGAGCTATCATGTGAACAACAGCGTGCCCAGCCCAGCCCAAACCCAGAGAAAAAAGGGAAGTGGGGCACAACAAGCCCAGAAAGGCAGGATGGCTCGGAGCTGGAAAGGGGCTTTCAATGCCAGAGAGGGGGTTGTCCTTAACCTGAGGGCGGCAGGAACCCCTGGAGCCTGGGACGGTCAGCACACAGTCAGCCCTGTGCTTCCAAGCCTGGGAACAACCGTAAGGAGGGAGTGGCGCAGGCAGGGGCCGTGGGCCAGGGCAGTCGGTGGCAGCAGGGCTGCCTACCGGGGTGGGGGGGGGGGAGCTGTATGTGCCAGGCAGAAAGGGATGGGAAATCCAAACGAGGGAACACACGGAGCCGAGGAAGAGCCCGAGACGGCAGAGCTGGATGTCGGGGAGAGGCCAACGCTAAGCTGAAGGTGCCTGTGGGCCACCTGGTTTGAAATGTCCACTAGACGGCTGGAGCCCAGGGGACAGAAGAAGGCTGGCTGTAGAGATGGGGGGCTCATCACCGGGCAGAGGCAGTAGAGAGTAAAGAAGAGGCTCCAGAGCAAAGCTCAGGCACGACCCGCCCTGGGGGCAGTGACCAGGCAGGCAGGAGAAGAACCACAGAGCCCTGAGAAAAGGGTGTCCAGCTGGGCACTGGAGAGCTCCCACACCAGCCTCTCCAAGCCTCACCCTGGGGCACACCCCAGTCCCAAGCCGTCCAACAGTTAGAGACTTGCTCTGCTAAAGGAGGCGGCCGCTAGGTGGCACCATGGCGCGCAGAGCGTTACTCTGAAAATCCAGCCTCAAACCCTTCCTAGGTGTGTGACTGTGGGTCGGTCACTTCACTCTGTTTGCCTCAGTTTTCTCATCTGTAAAACGAGCTGGAAAAGATCCTCCAAGAAACCCCAAGACGGGGTCACGAAGAGTTGGAGACGACTGAACAAGAGAATGAGGACATTCAACAACCTTCAGGGGCGTTCGCTAGCAAAGCCCCCCCCCCCCGACTCTGAGCTGCCCCTCAAGGGTCACCAGCTAAACGTCGGAGAGAATCCAGAGCCCCTCACAGCCCTAGTAGTCCAATGGTCAGAGCCTCAGAGTGGGAGTCAAAGACCTGAGTTCAAATCCAGCCATGTGACCATGGGCTAGCCCTGCCGCCCCAGTTTGCCTCAGTTTCCCCAACTGCCAAGTGGAGACAAGCACAGTGCCCCTCCCCGGGGGCTCTGTGCTGCCATCTGTAAAGCACTCCCCACACTGCCCCGCCCACAGAAGGGGCTCAACCAGAGCTTCGTGGTTGTGGATCAGTTGTGTGGGACTCCTTGTGTTTTCTCAGGGGTCTGCCATGTCCTTCGCCAACTGATTCTGCAGATGAGGAAACTGAGGCTTCTGGCCACACAGCTAGAAAGTGTCAAAGGCCAGATCTGAACTCGGGTCTTCCTGACTCCAGGCCGGGCACTCTGTCCACTCTGCCACCGACGTGACCCATGACAATCAATGCTTACTCCCCCCGTAATCAGGGGACTGGGAAGTGATGTCAGAAAGCTGAGCCGTGAGCGAAATCCAATCTCAAGGACGGTTTCAATACATTTGAGGAAAAACAAGCCTCACGGGCACTGAGGGAGGTGTAAACTCTTGCCCCCAGAGAGGACGGCCCGCTGCCCCCCTCCGCCGCCTCCCTCGTCCACAGTCCCTCGGCTGTCCCAGCAGCATGCCACCAGGGCGAGGCGGCTCCCTGGCCTCCCGACTGCTCCACGAACGGCCCATGCCCTGGCACCTCGCCTGGCGCACTCCTCACCTCTCTCTTGAGGGGCGCCACGTAGTCCCACGTGTTGGTGTCAGGGTCATAGCGCTCCACCTCCTTCAGGTCCGCGTGGTAGTCTCGCCCGGCCACGGCATAGATGTACTTGCCCAGGACGCACACACACAGGTCAGCATGCTCTTGCTGCAGGGACTGGATCTGAAACCACCTGTTGTGCCTTGGATCATATCTTGGAAAAGGAGACAAGGAGATAGGGCTGGGACCTCTCTGGGTCAGCCAAGGCCACAAGCCGTGCCCTCGGACAGAGCCCACCTGGCCCCAAGGACGCCGCCCGAACCTGTCAGCGTCCTCCAGAGGAGGGGCGCCTCCCCCTTTCCCAGGCCTGCCTTCTTCAAAGCTCAGCTCAGGCGCGGGCTCCTCCTCTACCCCCTCCTGCCCCTGAGATCCCTGCGTTCTGACCTTGTCTTTGGATGCTTGGTGGCAGCACGCAGCAGGGGCTTCGCTGGTGTTTGTGTAATTACACGTGTAGCATCAAGTCCATTCACCCTGTGATGCCCATAACCAAACCAGCAGGAGGTATTCATCGAGCACCTACCCTGCTGCAGGCCACTCATCGCGCATCCCCAGGAGCTGACGCTAACAGGGGAGCCAGCCAGGATAAACCCACTGAAGGCCAAGCAGAGGCCTAGGCCTGGCACAGGGGCAGGAAGGTGGGCCAGGCGCCAGGCCTGCAGGGCCTTAAAGGTAACGCACAGAGGCGAGAGGGAGCCCTGCAACAGCTACGTAGGGATGGTAGAAAGGGGAGGAAGCAATGAGGCCCAGAGGCCGAGGAGGCCCAGACTATGCTGGGGGCTGTGTGCGATGGGCAGTAGGGGACAGTGTTGCCTGACCGGGCTGAGAAGAGTGAGCAGTCCAGATGACACTGAATCAGGCAAACCGGGAGACAGGATAAGACCAAAACAGGGAAGTTTGGAGGGAAAGAAAATGCCTCCGTTCTAGACACCTCGAAGGGGAGGAGCCTCCAGGACACTTGGCAGCCAGATGCTCTGGGCAGGAACTGACAGATCTGGGGGGGGTCACCAGACAGTCACCAAGAGCGTCTGGAGAAGAAGAGAAGGAGGCCGAGGGCACAGCCCCAGGTGTCATCTGGATAAACAAAGGGAGTGCAGCCCCCCAGAGAGAGAAGGGGATGGACAGAGCCCATACAGCATGGCCCCTTCCCACCCAGCAGTGACCCCAGACGGCTGGGGAGGACGCCAGCATCCCCGAGGGGACCTCTGAGAACACTCGTGTTCCTTCCCCCTGCCCCCACTGCTCTCGCCTCCGTCCTCCCGAAGGCCTGATCTCAAGCCCTCCCACTCCCCGCTGGCCCTCACCTCACCAAAAGCAATCCTCCAGCTGGGTCTGACCAGGGCCGAGCACAGCAGGCCCTCCTTCCTCTGGCCCTCCAGTGGTCTGCCACTACCCAAGGCAGGAGAGCCCAAACCTTCCCCTCGTCGCTCGGGGGGTCTGCCTCGAGGACACCCACTACTCAGTTCTGCAGCTCACGCCCAGCCCAGCTCCCAGGGCTCTTAGCCACATGACCCTGGGCAAGTACCAACCTCCCACAGCCTCAGTTTCCCCATCTGTAAAATTTGGCCATAACAGCATCATAGGGCTGAGGTGGAGGGGGCAGGCAAAGAACATGCCAAGCTCCCACTGGAAACCTTGCTGCTCCCCTCTCAGCCCCCCCCACCTCACTCCCTTTCTAGGAAGACTCCTGTACAGTCGGATAGCCCCCCAGACAAGAACAAGTGATACACGGTTCAGAACAGGTTTGTAAACACCTGCAGCACGGAAGGCCAGGCCCAGTCCTAGGGCATCGCCCATCCCCCCCCAGGGCAGGGCAGCTAGGTGACCCAGGAGGCAGGGAAGCAGACACCCAGGGCCTGTGGGAGCCTAGGCAAGCCACGCAGGAGTGAGACACCGGGTGCGAAGCCCTCTGCGCACTACAGTAGCTCTCCTCATCGGCGTCCTTCTCACTCTGGCCTGGCCCAGCCACCTCTACCTGGACCACTGTGCCTGGCTTTGCAAGAGGGACCCTGGTCACCGGGAGCCTATCTAGAGGAGGGTGTGCAGACATCATGGGGAGGAAGCTCACGATCAGTGACTGAGGACCAGCTCTACTACCTGGGGCTGCAAAGGCTCGGGAGGCTGAGAGCTCTGACACCAGAAGGGGAGAGATTAGGCAGAACAAGATGGACAGAAGCCGCAAAGAGGCGAACCCCGGCGTGACGCGGAGCAGCCAGCCCAGGAGGCAGCATGACGCCTGGCCTCCCCATCCTGCGGCCTCCACGTCCCTCCCAGGAAGGAGCGTCTCCTCGCCTCTCTGGGTCACGGCTGCCCAGCCTCCCAGGCCCTGCTGGACCCTGACCCTGAAGACACGTGTGTGAACGGGGGGCACCAGCTGAATCGCGCCCTAAAGGACTGAGGGGTTTCCGTCCAGACGGCAACAGCGCCTACAGGCACCTGGCTCTGCCGCCCTCGGGAGTCCCCGACACCAGCCGCCTGAAAAGGTGCACCTACCTCCAACATCGGGACTCGGCACGGAAGCCTCGGACATTGTTGTCCCCGCCAATCAAGTACACAAAGTTACGCAGTACGGCCACGCCCTGATTGGACATGCGGGGTGCCAGGGCGGCGGTGAAGTGGCGCCACTCCCCCAGCGTGGGGTGCAGGTACTTGGCCTGGTCGCTGAGGACCGTGGAGGGGGTCGAGTGCATGCCCCCAAAGCCCACCACGCAGCGGAACTCGGAGCGCAGGGCCGTATGGGAGCTCTGCAGGCTGGGCTGCAGGATCTCCTGGCGGTGGTAGCGCAGGGCGCTGCCCACTGTGTCTCGCAGCGGGCATGGGCTCAGCTCATCATGGAGCTTCTGCAGGAGCGGAAGCTCCATGAGGGGGAAGCGCACAGTCTCCAGTAGCTTGGGCGGCTCCAGCAGAGACACCTGGCCGCTCTCGATCTGCTCCTGGCTGTAGTGGTAGAGCAGCGCGCCCTCGTAGACCTCGCTCTCGCAGCTGACCTCCAGCCGGTCGCTGCTGAGCAGGGCATAGACCTTGTCGAGGGGCAGCTGGCGGTACCTGTCAGTCCTACAGAAGGCCACAAAGTTCCTGAGGACGTAGGAGTCAAGCTGCTCCGTCAGCCGGCCCAGCTCGAAGAGGTCGGCCAGCTTGTACACATCCAGAATGTTCTCATCGTCCACCCAGGACATGAGGAAGTCGCAGCAGAAACGGATGATTTCTGGGATCTGAGGGAGCAAGAGAGAGCGAGAGAGAGCGAGCTCACTGAGGGAGGCCGGGCTGAGTCCTCCGGAAGCCCTTGGGGCCAGCCCTCAGCCGGGGAAGCCCCAGACGCCAGCAGGGCCCTGGAGAGCACCGAGGCAGCAGCTTCCCTGCGGAGGCCCATGGAGGGACTGGCCCTGCTCTGAGAAGCCACACAGCTCCCCAGCACGGTCACTGTCAGCCTCGTTTTGCTCTGATTGAGCACCATGGCAAAAACAAATCTATTTTCACAGGGGGATCTGTTACATTTTCTGACATTAAAATGTTGGAAAATCTTTGGGATTTAGGAACCAACCCCCTAGCCCAATCCCATCATTTTACAAGAGGGGAAACTGAGTCCTACTGATGAAACGACCTGCCTAGCAATCACACTGGCAAAGGTGTGACTGTATTGTGGGCCCTCTGCCTCTGCCCCTAGACGTCCCCAGGCCGGAGGTGGACCCTGGGGCTGCTCGACAGAGCCCAGACAGCGGTCAGGACCTGTGCTCCCCAAAGTATTCCACAACCCGTCCCCCTACCCCCAACACACACCCCGGAACGATGGCCAGGACTGTTCTCAGGGACACCCTGACATTGAAGAGCTGGTCCTGCTCCCAAAGTTCTTCCCTCAACCCTGCAACAGGTGAAGGACAGCCAAGGAGGCCACAGAGCGCAGGGCCCGGAGTCATCTGCCCGTTCAAAACAGGCCTCAGACACCGACCAGCCATGTGACCCTGGCCAAGTCACGTCACCCTGTTTGCCCCAGTTTCCTCATCTGTACAATGAGCTGGAGAAGGAAATAGCAAACTACTCTGGTATCTCTACCAAAAAAACCCCAGATAGGTCATGAAGAGGGGGATACGACCAAAAAGGACCCAATGATGTCGACCACGACAAAGATTTGTCTGAAACCAAATGGCCCCTGAGGCCATGCCCCTAGTTAGTCCCCTAGCCCACCCCCCACCTCCAGGCCCTAAGGACAGCATGAGCAGGCTAGCAGGGCCTCTCTGGACATCTGGCTGCAGGCTGCTAAGGGCGGCATTTCAGCTGGTCTGAAGTTCAGAACCTTCACTGCCATTCTTGGAGACAGGGGTGCCTGAGCTGAGCTGGGAGCGAGCCTCACTCCCTGCTCTCCTGCCAATCGATGGACAACCCCATCACCTCCCTGGGCGGTGGGCCCTCAGGTGCCAAGAGAGCTGAGCTGACTATCTCTACAGAGTTTCTAATGCTAACACTCAGAGACTGTAGGCCATGAAGGCAAGCCCCTGTCTATCTGTTCTGTGCCATCCCTAACACCACGAGGCCTCGGCCAAGCCAACTGCCCTCACTCACTCATCTACGAAATGGGAATAAGGTCATCTCACTGAGAGGTTAGGAAGTTAAACCACCGAGGACCTTCAAGGACTCAAGAGAAATGTCATGGCATCACAACTATGGTTCTATCTTCTCCTACTGCAAAACCTGAAGAATTCCATAGGAAAATGCACCTTAACTGGTCATGTGAAGGTCCACCAGTAGAGCCAGGAGCGGGGACTTCATGGGCATAGGCAGGCAGAGAACGCCTGTCCAACTCAGCAGAGGGGCCCTGGCTGCAGAGCTGGCCAGGAAGAACAGGGCAAAGGCCATCTCCCCGTCCAGAATTTCAAAGGCCAAAGCTGGTCAGAGCCGACGGACTGACGGACGGACTGATGGGCCGGCCGGCAGCCCAGGAGGGGAGGGGGCACAGCAGCCAGGACCCACCAGGCCTCCCCCACATGTTCCCAACCCCCACCTGCGCCTTGTCACCCTCAACAACACAAAGAAACAAAGAACCGCACCACGCGAACAGTTTTCTGCTCCTGTTCTTCATTTTAGAAACTTCTCCATGGAACGCTGAAACTCCGTTTTGGAAATTCTAGACTGAATAAGTCCCTGGTTCCTTTTTTTTAATCTGTGGGACAGAGGCCTTCAAAGCAAAGGCTCCCCAATACTGTGAGAGACAGAGACACAAAGATAGAGACTCAGAAACAGAGCCTCAGAGACAGAGACTCAGAGCCAGAGCCTCAGAGACAGAGACACAGAGACAGAGCCTCAGAGACAGAGACAGAGAGTCAGAGACAGAGACAAAGAGTCAAAGACAGAGTCAGAGACAAAGAGACAGAGACACAGAGTCAGAGACAAAGAGGATGCTTGCTCCCATGTGTGAATCGACGCAGAGGGACCATGGCTGAGCACCAGAGCAAACTGCACCAGTGAGGAGGATGGAGCCACAGTTGCAAGGGGCAATCCCAATGCAAGCGTTACTGAAATGAAGGAGGGAAAGCGTTTCCCAGAAGGAGCTGGTCCACGGCATTCAAAGCGAATGAGGGCAGAGAAGGGGCAAGCCCCCCGAAGGACGAGGTGGCAGACAATGTCAGCAGAGCAGAAAGGACAGAAGGGAGATCACAAGAAACCACGAGGACAAAGGCAGCAAACAGCAGGAGGAGGCTGCAGTGGCGGCATGAAGCAAAGCTAACAGAAGCGTGTGGTAGCTAATGGCAAAGGGAGAGAGTGGAGAAGAAAGGGCTCGGGGTGAGAGCAGGGCCCCAAGCGGGGCCTAGGCACCAGTGCCAATGCCAAGGAAGGCCCTGTAGGCAAAGCCTCTGGTGCAAAGGCCCCATTTCTTCCGTCTCTCCCTTTCTTTCATCCAGCCATGGGTCTCACCTGAAGCTGGCAGGCAGCCACCAGGGTCTCCTGGACATTGTGCAGACTGAGCTCCAGCTCTGACGTGTAAATGAAATTCAGAATCTGGCACATGGCATTATAGGAAACGCCATGGATCAGGACCTCTTCCTGCTCCATCTCGCGCAGTCCTCCGGCAAACATGCCCCTGAAACACAAAGACACAAAGGAAGAGGAGGTGAAGGCCACGTGCCCTGTACGTTGAGGACTGAGGCGAGAAGGGGACAAAAGGCCATCTGGAAAGATGCCCAGAGACCAAATGACTCAGTCTGGGAATTCCTAAAGGCACTGCCAAGGTCAGAGGGGGAGGGATGGCCTTTGGGTGGGCTTGACGTGACAGAATGCTGCCCAAGGTGGCCAGGACTGGCCTGGGCGAAGAAGAGGGAGGCCACACAAGTATCTACCCAAAGGTACCACCCTTGGGGCCAGCCTTCCTGCACTAAGCTGCCCTCCCCTGAGCCAGGCCACGCCACAGATGGCCGAGCCACATTCTGTCCACAGCGGCAGCTCCATGGGTGACCTCCACACAGCGAGGACCGCAGCTGGCAATGAGCCACACACAGCCAAGCAGAAGAACCTATGGACCCACTCCACACTTCACCAGGGCAGACATTTATGGCCCAAATGACTTCTCCCCTCTCTGGCTACTGATGAATTGAAAGGCTAGGTTAGAATCCGGTCATAAAGAGAGACAGGTTCTATTCAAAGGAGGCTCTGCAAGCCATCCAAAAGCCCGGTGCCACACCTAGCAGCCCGCCCTTTCCCCAGCCTCCTGGAAGGCAGCTGCTCCCAACAGCGCCACCTCCTCCTTCAGCGTACACAGCCCAGGCTTTGGCCCCGCGTCCCCAGCGGTGTGGTTTCGGCTTCCCATCGGCCATCCTTCTCTATTTAACTGGCCGGCACCCTCTATGCCTATCCCCGTACTGCCCCACAGGCTCCTGATAGGGAAGGGAATAAGCACTTATATAACGCTTACTATGTACCAGGCAGCAGGCATGGTGCCAAGTGCTTGACAAACGGCATCTCATTTGACCCTCACAACAGCCCTGCGAGGGAAGTCCTGTCATCACCTGCATTTTACAGCGGGGGAAACTGAGGCAAACAAAGGTTCAGTGAGCCGCTGGGGGTCACAAAGCCATAAGTATCTGAGTGCGGATTTGAGCTCTGGTCTTCCCGACCCCGGGCCCACAGCTTTATCCCCTGCACCACCAGCTCCCCCAGTGGCAGGTCAGTCAAACACCATCGAATCTGGGTTTCACCAGGACTCTCAGAAAGCCTGTGGAAGGGCATACATGTGTGAGCATGTGCAGCAGCAGGCTGGGGCAGGAAGGCACAACCAGCAGTGAAGAGCCAGGGGACCAGAATTCAAGTCTCCTCCCTGCCCTTAGTTAAGTCACTCACTGTCCTCTGCTGTCAGATGGGGTGGGCCTGGGGGGAATGTAGACCAGCTGACTTCCAAGGCACTGTCCCTAGATCCTCTGCTCCAGAGACCTGACCCTTCTGGTTCACACGCTCTAGGACCCCCAGATCTCCCTGGTTCCTAGCAGGCCTCTCAGTACAGCTCCCACAGACAGAAGGGACCAGACTCTCACTGAGGGCAGGGGGCCCAGGCTGACTCAGTAACCGGATCCTGTCAACCTCGAGCTCTGGGGAGGGAGGTAGGGCAGAGAGGCTTTGGATGGCGCAGGCCCCAGAGAGGAGATTCTACCGCCAGTGACGCCTGAACATTCCCATTCCGGAGGTCAGGTAAAGCACAACAGCCACGTCACCCAACTGCTCTCTCACTAGGGTCCCTCCCAAGGCTGTTGTGTGCTAAGAACGCCATTGGCACCGAGACAGCAGACAGCCACAATGTCCTCTGAGGGTGTCACTGCTCTGGTCAAGAACCCTGAGGAGCTCCCTAGTGTCATCAGGACAAACAGGCCCTCCAGCCTTTCCAGGCTTCTGTCTCACTGCCTCGGCACCAAGCCACCTCCACAAACGCTGTCCTATGTCCCATCTGTGCACCTCAGCCCAGGCTCTCCTGCGGGCCTAGAACAGCTCTCACAGTCTCTGGCTTCTTTCGTGGCTCAGCCCAGGCGCCACTTCCTCCAGGAAGCCTTGCCTGATCCCCTCTCTCTTCAAATTACCAAGTCAAGTCCATACGTGTCTGTTGAAGGCTAGGCCCCTGTGAGAGAAGGAGGTCCTGTTTTGAATCTTGCCTCTGACTTGGCAGTACCTCAGACAGGGCCTCACCAAGAGCAGGGGCTCCCAAACTGCTCGTGTAGTTAGACTCTGCTTTGTTTTCCTTTTTATTCTCTGTTTTAAGGGATGGTTCCCTGGGCTGAGGAGAAGGGAAGGGTGCAATGCAAAAAACAATCACCGAAAATTCACTTGTGAAAAACGGTTCTCTGTTCAGGTCGAATCCTGCTGGCAAAGGCTCAGCTGATATGTTCTCAAGAAGCAAAAAGATTATCCAGCCTCTGACCCACAGCAGAAGGTCACATCCTGATGACGGAGTAAGACAAGTGCTCGCGAGGACATGACAATGTATGGTTACAAACAGCATGGCTAGAACTCATTTACTTCTAATGAATGCAACAAACACGTATTTAGCACATGCTCTGTGGAGGCCGGGCGCTACAGGAAAGACCGTCTCTCCCAAAGGAGCTTAGAGTCCCTGGACACAAGAACCCCGTGGCACTCCCACACCGTGACAGGGGTCTGCAAGCAGGGCTGTAGGCAGGAAAGGGGCTGTACAACTGACAACACACATGTTGTGGAAGGAACTCCGGGCTTTCAGCTGGAAAGGGGGCACTAGGGGGAAGCGCATCAGCTCCCTCCACTCCCGGGATCCGCCCTCCGGCACCTCAACCTCACCATGTCCCAAAGGACGACACCCCTCCTTTGTGCCTTCCCTGTACTGGCAAGAGCACCACCATCCCCCTCAGCTCCTCCCACGCCCTCCCGGGTACCAAGGCCTGGCCAGGCACCTCTCCCCTGGTCGCTGCCACTTCCCTGGTGCCAGCTTTCATCCCTCACACCTGGACTATTGCCATGGCCTGGGGTGGGGGTGGGAGTCCCTCCCCAAAGGGCTTCTCCTGAAGCCCGGGTCTGACCACATCCCGCTTCTCCTCAAGCACTCTCTCAGCTCCCTATCACCTTCAGGGCCCGACACAAAGGATTCAGTCTGGTGCTCTACAGCCAGGGCGCCTCCATTCTCCCGTCTCCACAGCGCCCCTCCGCTCTGCCTCCTGGTTCTTCAAGACTCATCTCCAATCCCGCCTTCCTCCAGTGGTCTTGGCCCTGACCCCTCACCACCTGCTGGCGCATCGCCTGAGAATGCCCACCATCCAGGCTGCGGCGACCGTGGCTGTGCAGGGCTGCTGGCAGGCTGAGGACAGGGACCGTGGGCGTGCTCTCCTCTGTACTGTGGCAGAGAGGAAGCTACTTAGAAATGCTTGTTGATGGACTCAGCTCCGTCTTAACCAAAGGGCCGCCACACACAGGAGGACCGCAGCCTGCTGTGTCGCTCTGGAGAGGAGGTTCATTCAGGCTCCACGGAAAGAGTCAGGTTCTAGCAGCCAGAGCTGCCCGAGGCCATGATGGGCAGCCCAGCGCCAGTACCTGGCACAAGCCGAGCCCACGTGTCCAGAGACACATGTACAAAGTACAGAGAAATGAACAATTGCTCTTCCAAAGAAGTTACTTTCTACTGGAAGATGCAAGTCCAGATAAAAACACATTCAGAGAGGAACCACAGATACAAACCCAGAAGTCAAGGGAAGGCAGCACAGGCCCAGAGGGCACGGACGGAGATGGCAGACGGAACAGAGAAAGGGCAGTGTGGCTGGACCACTTGGGAGGGGGCTGAGGCCCGCTGAGGAAAGGCTTTGAAAGCTAACAGGGGACCTAAATCTTAATCTGGAGGCAGTAAGAAGCCACTGCTGAGGAGGACAGTCAGCTGCTCAGCTCTGTGTCTAATGAAAGTCACTCTGGCAGCAGCATGGAGGATGTTCTGGAGGCAGAAAAACCAATCGGGAGCTGCTGGATCATCCAGAGGAGATGTGGTGAGGGCCCGACCCAAGGCGGCCAGATGGGAGATGCTGTCAGAGGAGAAACAGAAACTGGACTGGATATGGCGGGGGGGTGGGAGGCAGACAGAGCAAGGAGTCAAGGAGAACGCAGGCCACGACCCTGGAAGACTGAACCAATGGCTATGGACCATTGGCATCAAGGGGTGACGTCCTGGCTCGCCCACGCACCGGACTGAAGTGAGGCAGAGCAGCACAAAGCGGTCAGCCTCACTCTCTGCTCCACAGTCACCAAGTCCGGGGGCAAGACAAAAGTCAGGACGACAGCCCGGGATGCAGTAGATGACAGCCTTCACCATCTGACCAAGCTCTGAGCTCCCCCCAGAGCCTGCTTCAGCCGCCTTTGTGACCGCTGAACAAATCCTTCTTGTCTGCCCATTCTACCAGGGAAAGTCTTCACATGCTTGGGGTAGACATCCCACTAACTCACCAATGGGTTTGAGGTCTGTCAGTTCCCCTTAACCTAGCTGAACCTGTCTGCCAAGATGGTTTTCCGGGGTGTGGCCGCTGCACATGCTCCAGCTCCCTGGAGCCACAGTTGGGTGAAAGGTAGACCAAAGGTGGAGGAGCAGCCCTCCCCCCAGAGGGGCGGGTCCCCTCTGAACACTCCATACATCCCTGTACCTAGACACCACTGTGGACAGGGTGCCACCAGCTGTATAACCCCGGGAGAGTCACTTAATGTCTGTCAGGCTGCTTCCTCCTCTGTAGAAGGGGGGGTAAGGGTTGTCATGAAGACAAATGGCTTTTAAAGACAAAGGACAGTTTGGAAGATGGGCAGATTTGAGGGGGAAAGGCAACGAGTTCAATTCTGGCCGTGTTAAGTTTAAGATGCCCCTGGGACAGCTATCCCATCTGAAATGTCTACGAGGCAACTGGTGCTAAAATAAGAAGCTCAAAGAACTCACTATTTAACAAAAACTGCTGGGAAACTGGAAAAGAGTACGGCAGAAACTGGGCACAGAGCAACACCTCACACCCCATACCAAGATAAAGTCAAAATGGGTACATGATTTAGATATAAAGACTGACACTACGAGCAAACTAGGAGAGCAAGGAATAGTTTACCTGTCAGATCTATGGAGAAGGGAAGAATTTATGGCCAAACAGGAGATAGAGAACACCATGAAATGCAAATTGGATGACTCTGATTACATTAAATCAAAAAGCTTTTGCACAAACAAAGCCAATGCGACCAAGATTAGGAGGGAAGCAGAAAGCTGGGAAACAATTTTTACAACCAGTGTCTCTGATAATGGCCTCAATTCTAAAATATCTAGAGAACGGAGTCAAATTTATCAGAATACAAGGAATTCCCCAACTGATAAATGGTCAAAGGACATGAACAGGCAGGTCTCAGATGAAGAAATTAAAGCCATCTATAGTCATATGAAAAAATGCTCTAAATCACTATTGATTAGAGAAATGCAAATCAAAACAACTCTGAGGTACCATCTCACACCTATCAGATTGGCCAAGATGACAAAACAGGAAAGTGATAAATGTTGGAGAAGATGTGGGAAAATCGGAACACTAATACATTGTTGGTGGAGTTGTGAAATGATCCAACCACTTTGGAGAACAATTTGGAACTATGCCCAAAGGGCTACAAAAATGTGCATACCCTTTGACCCAGCAACAGCACTTCTAGGGCTGTATCCCAAAGAGATCATACAAATGGGAAAAGGACCCATATGTACAAAAATATTTATAGCAGCTCTTTTTGTAGTGACAAAGAATTGGAAATTGGAGAGGATGCCCATCAATGGGGGAAATGGCTGAACAAGCTGTGGTATATAAATGTAATGGAATACTATTGAGCTGTAAGAAGTGATGAGCATAGGGGCAGCTAGGTGGCGCAGTGGATAGAGCTCCGGACTTGAAGTCAGGAGGACCTGAGTTTAAATCCGACCTCAGATACATAACACTCACTAGCTGTGTGGCCCTGGGCAAGTCACTTAACCCCATTGCCCCATTAAAAAAATAAAATAAAATAAAAAATAAAATAAAGAAATGATGAGCAGGTGGACTTCAGAAAAACCTGGAAGGACTTACATGAACTGATGCTGAGTAAGTGAGAAGAACCAGGAGAGCATTGTACACGGTAACGGCCATGTCGTGCGATGACTAACTTTGACAGACTTAGCTCTTCTCAGCAATGCAAGGATCTAAGACAATCCCAAAATGCTATCCACACCCAGAGAAAGAACCACAGAGTGTGAATGCAGATCAAAGCAGACTATCTGCTCTCTTTTTCTTTTGTTGTTTTGTTTTGATTTTTCTTTCTCGTGGTTCCTCTCATTGGTTCTAATTCTCCCTTACATCATATGAAAGTGATATAATGTGAACATATGCTTAATATGAATGTAATAGGGCCTATATCAAATCGCATGCTCTCTTGGGGAGGGGGGAGGGAGGAGGAGAGAGAGGGGGAGAAAATTTGAAACTCAAAATCTTATGGAAGTGAATGTTGAAAACTAAAAATTAATAAATTAATTGTTTCATTAAAAAAAAAAAAGAAACAGCAGCTCAGGGCAGAGACGGGGTCCAGATAAGTGGATCTGATCCTTAAACCCAGGGGAGCTTACCCAAAGAGAGGGCCTAGAGCGAAGAGGGCCTAGGACAGAACCTCAGGGCTCACTCCCATCAGGGAGCATGAGCCAGATGACGAGCTGGCAAAGAAGCCTGAGAAGGGTGGCCAGACAAGGGCAATGCCACCAAAGCCCAGAAAGCCGAGGCTATCCAGGGAAAGGGGGTCAGCAGGGACAGACGTGGCAGGGAGGTCAAGGGTCAGGACTAACGACAAGCATTCCGATTCGGCAGCTAAGAGAGATGACCAGTGAATCTCAGCAAGCAGCCTCAGCCCAGTGTCAAGGCAGGGAGCCAGACTCAAAGTGTGCAGGAGTAGGAGGGTAGGGAGCGCAGGCATCCAGCAGAGGCAGCTCGGTGGAAGCGCGCAGCCGGAACGGGAAGGGATGTGGAGCGGCCAGCAAGGTCGGGTCCAAGGTTGGTAAGGACGGGGGACACAGGGGCGTGTTTGAATGCAGCAAGGAATGAACGTAGATGGGGGAGAGAGGACAGGAAAGAAAGAAGCAGAGAAGAGGCACGGTAGAGGACTCCATCTGCCGGAGAAGGTGCAGGAAATGGGATCAATGCACATGTAGAAGGACTGGCCTTTGCAAGAAGAAGGGAGAGAGAGAGAGAACAGGGATGATGGCAAGAAGTTCTGAGACAGGTCAAAGGATACGAACAGGCAGTTTTCAGAGAAAGAAAACAAAGCTATCAACTGCCATAGGAAAAAATGTTCTAAATCACTAATAATTTTGTGGTTCATGCCCAACTCTTCATGCCCCTATCTGGGGTTTTCTTGGCAAAGATACTAGAGTGGTTTGCCATTTCCTTCTCTAGCTCATCTGACAGATGAGGAAACTGAGGCAAACGAAGTGACTTGCCCAGGGTCACACAGTTAGTAAATGTCAGGGGCCAGATTTGAACTCAGGAAGAGGAGTCTTCCTGACTTCAGGCCTGGAGCTCTGTGCACTATGGCACCCCCTAGCCAACCCAGTAATAATTAGAGAACTGTAAATTAAAATCACTCTGAGGTACCAACTCACAGCCATCAGAATGGCAAAGATGACAGAAAAAAGGAAAGTAACAAATGCTGGAGGAGACGTGAGAAAACAGGCACATTAATGCACAGTCCTGAACTAGTCCGACCATTCAGGAAGCCCATTTGGGACATCGGGCACAAGGCCATCACAGCCTTCTGACCCAGCGAGACTGCTGCTAGGTCTACACCCCAAACAGACCGAGAGAGAGGAGACACAGGCACATGCACAAATATGGCTGGCAGCTCTGGTTGTGCTGGCAGTGGGGATGCCCAGCAGCTGGGGAATGGCTAGACAAGATGGAACACTACCATGCTGTACGAAATGATGAGCAGGATGGTTTCAGAAAAACCTGGGAAGATCTATATGAACTGATCCAGAGGGAAGTGAGCAGAACCAGGGGAACACTGCATAGCAACAGCAACACTGTAACACTGATGAATGTGAAAGACTTGGGAACGGTGCTCCGCAGGATGACCCACCCCCAATGCCAAAGGACTTGTGATGAAAGATGCTACCCTTGTCCAGAGCAAGGGCTGACAGCTTCAAGGGGCACAGTGAAGCTTGCTTGCTTTTTCTTACCTTTTTTTGAAGCGAGGGGCTAATGCAGAAATTTGGCTATGGGTTTCAGGGTTTGTGGGGTTTTGTTTTTGTTTTGTTTTTTTTGCCTTTTCACTGTGTCAGGGAGAGAGAAAGGGGAGGGAATTTGGAACTAAGAAAAATTTAAAAGTGTTTTAAAAAAAGAAACAATATTGAGATAAAGGCATTGGGAAAAGAGGGAGCTAATAGCAAATGGACTCAACTGTCTCGGTAAGGGGTCAAGGTCTTCAACTGAGGGGAAGGATGTGGAGCTCTGTAGGGAAGAGAAAGCTTGGAATCATGTCTATGGGCACTGACAGGGAATCAATGAGGAAGGAAGAGGACTGCCTTGCTGCCATGAGGGTCCCGCTGAGGCTGGCTAACATGAATCCGTAGTGTACCCGTCAGCATGGTTCCTGAATAAAAGCAAAGGAAGAGGAAGCAGAGGGATGCAGCAATGAAGCCAAGAGGCAAGGGACTGAAGAGCACAGGACATAGTGGAATGGAAATGGCCAACGTCAGGACTGAGACGAAGAAACAGGAAAGCGAAGTCAGAGCAAGGCTAAGAAAGCACAGAGGGACAGAGGGATGGGAAGTCAGATGGGGGCAAAGTCAAAAGAGGCCGTGGGCACCAGGGAGGCCAAAGAACCAGGAGCTCCAGGAGCTCGAGTGCATCTATGTGAACCATAAAGTCTCCCAGTACAAAGGTGGTTGTGGAGGAAAGGAAGATGGTGGGACAGGAGCTAAGCTCCTTGAGAAAGGAGAGAGAATGGCCTGGGAGTCAGTATACTACAACCACTATCATTTGGACTGGGTAGAAAATGTGGATTGGGTGGACTTCATGGAGAATCAAAGTGACGGGGGGAGTGAGGAGTATTCCTTAAGAGGCAGGCAGTGAGCTACCAGTCACTGCAGGTATTCAACAGAGGTCAGACAATCCCTTGTAAGGGGGGAATGCCACATAAAGGGCTCCTACTCCAGGACATCTAAGGTCTCCGGCACCTCTGGAATGGGGGCAAGTTACCAAGAGACAGAGCAAACATGAGTTGCACAGATTGCTGCACTGGACACCCCACCCCACACACTCTTCCCAAAGTCTGGCTGTTCTAAGCATAAAAGAAAAAAAGAAAGAAAAAAAAATGAAGTCGCTGCATCAAACTCACCGGAAGTAGTCACAGGACGCGGCCAGGAGGATGCGATGGGCTTCTATTTGCTTGCCTTCCACCACCAAGACAACGTCAAAGAGGATCCCGCTGTCTCGCAGGGCCAACAGCCCGCTGAGCAGGGACTGAGAATGCTGCGCGCTCCGGTAGGTGTTGCTGTTGCAGTGCTGAGCCATGGGCTCGGGGGCCACCTGGCCCAGCTGAGGGGGCTCCTGGTCTTCTGCCATCCCAAGCAGGGTGCCAGACAGCTAGAAGGGCACAGAACAGAACGGATGAGCGCCAGGGCAGAGGCCTCCAAAGCTGCCCCGTCCGATCTCCCGACGGCGTCCATGCTGGGTGGTCCTGGAGCCTGGTCTGAGCATCTCCAGTTGGGGCAGCCCGCTTCCCTTTGGAATGGCTCTCACCTCGGGCTCCCTCCCTTTTCTGGTCTCTGTAGCCCTTGGCTTTCACTGACCCTTCCCATACTGCGTCCCATTCAATAGGACAGGAAAGAAAGTCTAGTATTTACCATACCTATACAGCTAAGACACAAAATAAAGCGATTCATTCATCTCAGAGGGAGGTCACTACTTTTCTAATTTTCACTGATAAACCAATCGACAAGCATTTCTTTAGCTTTTACAATATGGTAAGCCCTGGGAACACAAAGAAAAAGCAACAACAACCAAAAAAAAACCCCTTTGAAATGATGAGCAGGCCGACTGCAGAGAAACCTGGAAAGACTCGTACGGACTGATGCTGAGCGAAGTAAGCAGAACCCAGAGGACGTTGTGTGATGACTAATGTTGACAGACTTAGCCCCTCTCAGCAATGCAAGGATCGGAGATATCTCCAGAGGCCTCGTGATGGAAAATGCTACCCACATCCAGAGAAAGAACTGTGGAGTCTGAATGCAGATCAAGGCAGACCGTTTGCTATTTTTTTCTTCTGCTTTGTTTTGTTTCCTCTTTCTGGTGGTTCCTCCTATCGGTTCTATTTCTTACTTACAGCATCACTAACGTGAAAATATGTTTAATAGGAATGTATGTGTATAGCCTATATCAGATTGCGCACCATCTTGGGGAGGACAGTGGGGAGGGAGGGGGAGAAAAATTTAAAACTCAAAAGCTTGTGGAAGTGATTGTTGATAAAGCAAAATAAATTAATTTAAAAAAAAAAAGAAAGAAAAACCCTTTGCCCTCAAGCAATAACATTCTAATGGAGCAAACAACATCTGTGGGGAAAGATTTATGTGAAAGACATGAAGTCTGGATGCAAAGGAAGCCCAACAAGCTGGAGAGAGCAGGAAAGGCTGCCTGCCCAAGGTGGTGGCTGGGCAGGCTCTTGATGGGAACCAGAGATTCTCAGAGATGGAAGTAAGCAAGATGAAGCACCCAAGCACCAGGGAGAGCCAGTGTGAAGCCAAAGAGGCGGGAGTATCAGACTAGAGGGGCAGCACCCACGGTGTAAGAGGGTAGAACCAGAGAGCGTGTGGATGGGAAGCAGGGGTCAAAAGCCTAGAAACGGAAGAAGGATCCAGGCTGTAAAAAGGTTTAAATGCCAAAGGAGAGTGCAGACATGATCCTAGAGGCAAAGGGGGGGGGGGCGGAGAGAGGGAGAAGAGACAGAGAGGGAGGAGAGAAGGAGAGAAGCACAGAGGGAGAGGAGAAAGAAGAAAGGGAGAGGGAGGGAGGGAGAGAAAGAATATGTGTGTTGGTGGGTTGGGAAGGGTTGACATGACAATCCCCTTAAAAATACATTTTAGAATTTCGCAAGGAACTGAGGTCAACTTCACTGGCCTAAAATGTGCCAACACCATTCTTCTTCCTTGTTTGAAAATCAGGACACTGGTTTGCCCTTCACCAATTCTGCCGTATTTTTCCTATCCCACCTCGGTCCCTCTCTCACCCAGGCTGGAAGCTCAGGGGCTATTCCAAGGCACTGTGCTATCATTCTAGGCCAGGTCGCCTGTCCTTGGGCATCCTGGTGGCCCCTGCTCCCAAGGGCGAGGGCTCACCCATTAAAGCCAAGGGCAGCTCTTAGCCCACCAAGTTCAGAACACCCAAGCTCAAGCTTCACCAGCCTCAGCGTTGCCTCTAGCAGCAGAAATTACAGGCACGAAGCCCAGTCATCTCGGATCAAAAATCACTAACATTTGTTACAGCAGTTTGGGCTTTTTGCGGAGGGATGTAAAAAAAAAATGCTTGTTAACAGAAAGAAATTAATTTCAAAAAATCACTGCCACCGTGGGTCAAGACTCCCACATTCCAGTTTTACCACAGATGCTCACCTGGTCTGGGGCGGGGAGACAGATGTGGGTGGCAAGTTCTCTATCTCCTTCCCAGGCCTAGCTACCAACTCCCCCTCAGAGTCCATGGGAAACTAGCTTTCCTCTGAAGTTTTGAAAATCTGCTCCCCCTCAGTCTAATCTTTCCCTCTTCCTTCTCTCCTCCTACTCACCAGCCTCCTTGGTCTGGCTCACCATGCCCTCCTGGAGCTAAGGCAATCTGTGCCTAAAAATATCAACTTGTTACTTTTCCCCAAGCCCTTCCATCCAAGTCCCCTGATTTCCTACCAAGTGAAGACAAGCCCTTAGCACAGTGCCTGGCACACAGTAGCTATCCTATAAATGTTGCTTCCCTTCCTTTCCCTACCTAGACTACTGACTTTTCAGGGTTGTCACAGAGATCCAATTCACAATGGAGGTAACTGCTTTGTAAGCCATAAAGTACCAGAGCCCCCGTCAGCTCTGAGAGGCAGGTGAGCTTCTGGGTCACAGCAGGGGGCTCTAAGCTGGCCAAGGAAAGGTCACAACCGTCCCAAAGCCAGGCTTCCAGTTATGGGTGAGTTAGAGCCCAGAAAAACTCCAGATGAGCTCTGCTGCCGCCAGGCTCCAAAGGGGGCATGGAAAGTCAGAACACGCAAGACTGAGGGCCGGGAGTCTTCATTTTACAGAGAAGGAATGAAAGGCCTAACGTGGTTCAGTGACTAGCTCCACATGACTGAGGCAGTAAGTGGCTGGGACTCCAGAGCCAATCCACACTTCTTGCTCTAGACCTCACGTCACCAAGCGACACAGCCAACGATGGGGCATCTAGATTAGCTGCCTTCTAGGGTTTCTGCAGTATATTTTAAGATGCAGGTATCGTCTTCCTGTTGCTCAGTGTATAATCAAAGAATATAAATCATTTTAAAAGCAATTTAAGTATAGACAACCCAGCGTAAGAGACAGATTTGGCCTCAGAGTCCAAAAGACATAGATTCTGACACAGCCTGGTGGTGTGACCCTAAGCAAGGGACACTCATGCATTGTTGGTGGAGCTGTGAACTGGTCCAACCATTCTGGAAAACAATTTGGAACTATTCCCAAAGGGAATACTGTGCATATCCTTTGACCCAGCAATACCACTACTATGTCTGTATCCCAAAGAGATTAAAAAAAAAAAAAAGAAAGGGACCTATTTGCACAAAAACATTTTTAGCAGCTCCATTCATACTGGCAAAGAATTGGAAATTGATGTGCTCTAAGAAATGATGAGCAGGATGGTTTCAGAAAAACCTGGGAAGACCTGTCTAAGCTGATGCAAAGTGAGGTGAGCAGAACCAGGAGAACACCGTACATGGTAACAGCCATGCTGTGTGAAGATCCACTGCAAAGAACTTAGCTACTTTGATCAATACAATGATCCAACACAATTCCAAAGATTCGTGCTAACATCACCTCCAGAAAGAGAACCGATGGAGTCGGAATGAAGACGGAAACAGAATTTTTTCATTTTATTTTTCTTGTTTTGGGGGTTTGGTTTGTTGTTTTTGGTTTTTTTGGAACATGGCTAATATGAAAATGTTTTTACATGATTTCACATGTATAACCAATATCACATTTCTTGTCTTCACAATGGGTGGGAGAGGGGAAAGGAAGTAGAGAATTCAGAATGCGAAAAAAAAATGTTTAAATGAATGTTAAAAATGAATAAGTTTTCTTTTTTTAAAGTTCACTATTCTAATGAAATTACAGGTTCAGGTCCAGATTTTTTTTTAATTATCTTGAAATAATTAGGAAGATACATGACTGAAAAATCACTTCCATAATCCCTCAAAAGTCGGGGATAAGTGAGTATACAGCTGCTATTAACAACTCAAACATGGGGCTCGTCTCCATATCTCAGCCCATTCTCTCTCCCATCTCACAGGGACAGGTGTTCCTTCTCCTCCTTCTCCTGACAAAGCCTAGCCTCCTTCACCATGCTCTTAGTGCCCCTCTCCCTTCTCCAGTATTCCCCTCCAACAATTACTCCCGCTTCATTTCTTTGGTTTTTTTATTAATTTATTTTAAACTTAAATACAAAAATTTAAATACACAATAAGAAAAGAAAAAGAAACATTATAAATTTAATTAAAACAAATACAAAATAAGAAAAAAAAACATTGCCATGTGCACAGCAGAATGTTAAGAGAGGATTCAAAACATACAGCAATACATTTCCATTTCAAGAAAGCCTATATAAAAATACACACTACACATTTGTGTTGAGAGCTGTCGATCTTTTCTTTGCTTCCCCGTAAGCTTTCTTTTGTGCTCCGCTGTGCACTTTTTACTTTGTTCTTTTCCCCACCCATTTTCCCCAAGAAGGTACAATTAAGCATGGAGAAATATATATGGCCTTTGTTACGTGTGTGTGTATGTATGTGTATGCATATACATACATACATATAAGTACCCACATATACATACACACATACACAAAGATACATGCATATACATAAACACAGATATCTACAATCATACTCATATACAGACATCTATATTCATATGCACCTATATAAGACTGTACTATACTTATCTATCCCCTGTTTCTCTGAGGGTGGATACTGTCTTCCTTCATAAGTCTGAGTTTCCCATATTTTTCTAAGTCCACCAACTCGTCATTTCCTAAACCACAGCAATATTACAACCTCACACTGTCTAGTTATTTTAACTAGTCTAAAACAACATTGATTAATATGGCCGGTATACAGTGTAGTTTCCCTATTTTTCTCTTTTAATTAAATCTATTTTAGTTTTAACTTTGTCTGAGATCGTGATTACTACCTCTGCTTTTCTTTCCCTAGTAAATTCTATTCCTGATCTTTATTTTATGTTTGTATTTCTTATTTCCTAACTCTCCTGACTCTTCTACTTTACTTCTACCTGCTACCTTGCCCTCCTATTACTTAACCTACCCTCTCTTCAAGGATCCCTCCCTTGTCTTCCCAATCCCACTGATCT